ATTGTCAGATCGTGTCATCCTTGTAGGTCTCTGGAGATCACCCTGGTTCCAGATCTCTTCTCGGACCTATAGTGGCTCTCTCTGATATGGTATCTTTCATCCTGCTCTCTCTCCTCTATTCTTCCCCCAACTCAATATTTCTGCTCCTCCATTTCCTCTCCTCTACTCCTCTTCTCCTGCCCTATAATTCTCTTCACCAAAGAAACTTGAAAACATGAAGGACTCTAAGAGATAAATGGACCCCAGGAATGGGAAATGGCATGAACTCCTGAGCTAATTGGGAGCATGAGGGTAGATTTTCTTTTTTAACCATAAAATTTTCGGAGGATCTCTGTATCTTCTCTTCTGCTAAACTCTATAGAATCATCCACATAGATTCCCATTGCTCTTAAGTCAATGCTATAAGCTTCTGCTGTTTTTCCATCAACTGGCTCTGAGGGCTCAAATCACCAACCTTTCCTCTTAAGACCTTGACTGACTGGATGCTCTTTTTAATTACGTCCAAAGAAATTCACACACCATTTTAACTATATCCAAAGCAATTCAAGCAGTTCCTTTTGTCAACATTAATACATTCACAATCACATTTCATATATACCAATGTGGCCATGCCATACATGCAGAACATGCACACATCTCTCATCTCTCCTTTTGCCTAAGTTATGATTAGTTTATTAAAATGAAACTACTTTAATTGAAATCTCTTGTAGCACAATAGCTATAGCCAATCCTTGAATTAAAAGCATCCAGAATTTGAATAAATCCAAATTTTTCTATGTTGCCTTTATTTCTCTATAAGGTTTTAAAACAGTTTGACTGGATGCATTAATTAGCTTTCTCTATATACTTGGCTGAGTGTCAGCCATGGCAGAAGCTCTCAAGGTTGTGAGTTTTCTAGGTTTTGACCTTGACTTTATCTTGCCTTTTGCCTTTTGGGCCTGGGCTGGCCTTCTGTAGGTCATTACCATTTATAACCAACCCCATTTAAATAAAAACATATGTTTATAAACAATATTTGGGAATGTGGGCATCATTCTTTCCAAACTGCTTCTTGCTGATTGGGGGCACTGATATACCATGGGGATCATTAGAAAACCCAGAAATCCTGACTGTAGTGGTCTGTGACTATATCATCCGAGGTGTCTTCAGTGTTGGATCACCTGGCCATTGCTTACTGGGGTCTTGCTTCATCAAACCATATTAGTCTGAAAGGAACCCACAGGTTTTCATTTTCTGTGGAAACAAATGCAGAAGTTCTTTTCCCAATTAACCCGTGCTTATATTTACATTTAGAAGTCAAAGTAGTTTTGAAATAAATAAGTTAAATTATCCAGCAGCATTTATAATCAAGCATGTTTTAGCAGTTATTGTTTCCTAGGCAATTGAACAATTCAAAGATAGCACAATAGCATACAGCATCCGGACTCTCTGTGTATTTTCCATCTTTACTTGGCTTATTTATTTATTATTCATTTTTTTTTACTTTTTTTTTCATCTTAATACCAGTACCTTGTTTCTTTAAACTTTCTCCATGTATTTCCCTTTGAGACATCATTTCTCTATTCCAATCCATCTCTCTCAAGAGTTGAGGCACCCTTCCTTTCCTGATCTTGGTGGAACCTCCACTTGGTGTCCACACCAAAACAAAGTCCGAGTATTGGACGAAAGCCTGGAGATTTAGTTAAAAGCAGAGACATCCGGCTGCTTGTGCTATTGTGTCTGTCTGACTTTATTCGTCTCCCTTATTCCAGGGGAAGAGCAGCCTTACATATACTTACAGCACAGTAGAAAAACCCCAGGTATAAGATTGCTCATGGAGAAACCCCAGATGTAATAGCTCGTGGAATAAGAACTTATGATTTCCCAGGTGTAGTGGGGAGATGCTGGGACTGTAACCCAGGACTAGAAAACAGGATGTACCTGTGTTTATTGGATGACAGACAACTCAGAGACCCCATGGGGGCTGGGATCCCACATGGGGATAGAGTTCCGTCACATTGACATGGCTGCAAATTATATAACATAACCTGAACAAGTGGGGCATGTGAGTGGGTGTTTTCCCAAATAGGTAGAGTTAATCACCTAAAATTGGAAAATCACAATTCTCATAGAGATAGGAACACCTGTTAAAATATTTATCTGGAAGATGGTAAACAAATTGATAAATAATATAATTTAAAGAAGAGGCAATGAATAGAAATGGGAACACTGATTGGGAACAGTGAGATGACTGTTAAAGGAGGCAAAACTGGTTTTGGCCACTGTGTGGGAAGAGGGCAGTTAAGCCTCTGCTGAAAGTTTTATTCATGTTAGATGAACTGAGATTTACATATGGCTGTTAAAGAGGTTAGAAACAACAGAAAAATAATCTGATGCATAATCTGTAGCTGCATTATGTAAACAAAAGTATTCCACTAAAAAAATGGTAGGAGGTGAAAATAAAATAGAAAACTAGATTTCCATGAAGGAGGTGAGTATTTTCCTAACATGGCAAACACCAGACTCCCATGGACACCAATGACATCATAAAGTACTGGATCACAAAGGTCTCCCCTGATGTGGGAGGGGCAAGATTATGTAAACTGGTTACTTTGAAAGATCCAGGCCAGAAGAGAGGTTAAGCTGAGCCATATCCATCAAAACTACACCATGTCAGGAAAAAGGCAAAGACGATCCCGTTCCAGAAGAGCCAAACTTCAATTTCCCGTTAGCCGTGTGAACCGTTTCCTTCGAGAAAGAAACTATTGCCAGCGCCTGAGCTCTTGTGCTCCTGTGTTCCTCGCTCGTATAGTAGAGTACTTGTTATCCAACATCCTTGTGCTGGCTGCTAAGGAAGCCTACTTTAATGGCCAGAAGTGCATCACCCAAGAGCACTTATATCAGGCAATACAGAGCGACGAAGAGCTCTATCAACTCTTCACAGAAGACACCAACTCTGTGGTTGCTTTGCTAGAAGCAAAGGGGAACTAATGATGCCTGGGTCTTATATGGTGGAGGGTCTGCCCCTTCATCCTCAACCAGTACCCATTCTCTGCTAGCTGGGCGAGCTAATGATACATGCCATTAAAGCATCTAGACTGAAGCGAGGTCTGAGTCTTTTCAGTTTGTCATTTTGAGCTGTGAAATACTCAGAAGATGTGCTGGAGTGGAAGCTGTGGTCAGTGTGGGGCATTTAAACCTTGATTTCCAAAGGCAAGTTTCTGGTGGGGATGGTTCCGGCCATGCTCCTTGTGGGAGGTAGCTGGAGGAGTGGGTATAGAAGCCATCATGGTGGGCTGTGAGCATGGGAGATTTTGGGAGACCAGGAAGTTGTCTGGGGCCTCCAAACCAAGTTGTCTTCCCACACTGATGAGAGCTGTAGGCAAAGCCTTGTACTGTGGTGGTAGGCTTATTCATGGAATGGAAGATCTCCACTGAGGCAGAGAATAGCACTGTTCATATGAGTATTTGGGATACTGGTTCTGCTTACCACCAAATGATACCTTTGGGGGCTGGAGAACAGTATTGTACAGAGGATGGAGGCAGGAGGAGATGAATATACCAGATGGGACACATTGTGATGTCCTCTTTGCACTTTATGCCTTTATAACTCTCTCTTACTTTGGTAAGGCTTATCCTTGACTCATTTAGAGAAGTAAAGTGTCCTGGAAAGCTGGAAATGGTATCAGCATTGTGCTCTTGACTCTTTGAAAAGTGTTCTTGTTAAAATCAATCTTAGGAGAACTGGAACACTGAATTTGTTGCCTTGTTCTTTTAGTAGTGTGCATATATATAATGGTGTCAGTGACTAAGGCCTCCATTTTATATTATTTGAGTATGTTTTGTTAAATCTTTTCCAGAAATATAAGGATTATCTCCCTTTTACAATATGTAATTTATGGTAGCATGAGAGGATAACTCTAAATTTTTATTAAATAAGAATTTTCTAAAATAATCCAGTGAATAGCAAGGAGGCAGGTTACACAGTACAGTTTCATAATTGAGTTCTACAATATGAGATGGAAGGAATACACAAACTCACCTGTGCAATGAGTCTACATGATTTGAAGGGTCAAAAGAGTAAATTAAGAGCAAGGAGAAATGAATTCTGGTCTCCAAATGTTGCTCTCTTGGGGTTCCATCAACATCCATGACTATAAATAAATTTAGGAGGTTAGAAAAATGATTTCAAAAACCCACTAGAAGAGTGTAGCTGTCAGGCTGAATCTTTTCCCAAGAAAAACTTCTGGATGCTGGAAAGTGAGGTAAGACAGCAGAAACTTTTCATGAAGTCTACTTTACAATGGAGTCCAGCAAGGCCTAGAGATGGTAACCAGCTCTCTGAAGATTATACCGTGATAGCAGCATAGCCGTAATGAGGGTCCAGCCCTCATATGTGAAGTGTAGGAGGCTCTTTCCTCCAGCCTGTCCTAAGATAAGCACTGTGAGGTAGAAGCCTATGTGATGTTTTCCCCTCTAACCATGAAACTCAAGCCTTCATCACAAAACTGTAGGGAATCTAGGATTTGAAGAAAGCACTTTCAAGAACTGATTCTTAAGAACTTTCACTTCTATTTTCTTGATGTGGTCCGAAGGATTATGCAGTGAGATTTCAGCTAGTAAGGAAGTCATCCCACAAGGACCATGAATTCTGATAGAGGAGACCCAAGGCATTGGAACTACTGACTTCTGAATGGTGGCTGTCCTTACTGTAAATCCCCTGTGAAGCCATAGTGTTCTCCTTCTATAGTGGGATTCATCCCAAAAGCTCCAGCAGTGTATTAATTATTGGGCATACCAGATGATCTTCCCCCATACCATGGGGCCCTGGTGTAAAAGGATTCATGAAGTCAAAAAAGCTTTGTTCTCATAGCTAATTCTTTTCTCCATTCCCTGATATAAACTTAGAAGCTAGCTCCCCACAATTATCTTTTATGGCAGGACATCTGGCCAGGAGAGGTGTCTTTCAAATGAACCACATTTCAATCCTCTAAGGACAGGCACTGAGAGGGAGGATATAGCATGTCTGAACTAACTGACTCATTGCCCTCATAGATCAGGAGAAATGGGTGCCCTGAATTCTCCCACAGCTAACAAACTATTAATATACTGTATTTACCTTCACCTAGGTTCTGTTGATACAAGATCTCAGTCTAGGAAATTAACTGCTTGAATCTTAACCCTGAGAGATACATGAAAAGGGTATTGATCACTTAACAAGCCCCAAAGAAAGGTAATCCTAACTCAGGTGTCAGCAGGAACAAGCCTGCTGATGCTTAGGCCATAGGCTGGAAGTGTCAGGTTCTGGATTTTACACTCCATAGCCATGATTTTCCCTTTGATCTAACTACTTTAGATATAAACTTTAGAGGTGAGAGATCCCCTTTAATTTGCTATCATTTGGCAAAAATGGTAATGCTGATCAAATGCCACAAGGTTTTTCCTTCTGCAGCTTACATCAGTTGCCATAGCTACCATGATGCTTTCCTTGCTGCCAAGCAAGTGAAAGAGAATGCTGTGCATACAGCACTGGCAAGTCTCTCCCCTCAAATTTCTACATTTATCCATTACAAACTTCTACCTTAACTAGCCACACTTAGGACCCCAACACACACACACACACACACACACACACACACACACACACACACACACACACCAAAAACAAAACAAAACAACTTTCCTGACTTCTATCAAGGCAACCTTCTTCCATGGGGACTCAGTGTTTCCCCAAATTATGGCCAACTGTCTAGAACAATTTTCCCAGTGCTACTCTCCTGATCTATTGAAGCCCATAAAATAATCAGGAGTTTCTAGTGATTGTTGATACAAGGACACAATACACTGTTATTTCAGGTAACTTTTCCTTTTACAAACAAAGGGCATTTGGGGACCATTTGATATTATGGTCCAGTATACTGACTAAATTCTCATGCTGATTACCCATCTATACCCAATCGCAAGCATGAATGTCACTTTCAGCCACCTCTCAAATTAAAACAAAGAAATTTCTGTAGCAATTGCTGTTTGATTAGTACTAACAAACTTTTTGGACACATTTTTAGAGATGGTAGAAATGAGAGTTAAAGGCAATTATACTTCTTGTTCACATTACCTTACACAGCTCTTGTTACACCAGTCTCCCAACCATCTCAATCTTATACAAATAATTGCAGGCAACTAAGGAATACTGAAAGTAGGAAAAATAGTCTTACCCATACAAAAGCACACCAATTGGCTATCTAATAGAAAAATAGTCATCTCTGAAAGTATACATACAAGTAATATTATACAGAATTAGCAGGTTGTGTTTATGTAACACAAACACACACACACACACACAGAGAGAGAGAGAGAGAGAGAGAGAGAGAGAGAGAGCAACAATTAATGAACAAAAAAACATGAAACTGCAAGACAGCAAGAAGGATATGTTTGGGAAGGTTTGGTGGGAGGAAAGGAAAGGGGAAAATGATGTAACTTTATTATAATCTCAAAAGATAAAAAAATAAAAATTGTTAAATGTCTCAATATGAATAATAGAAATATACAATTGGGCCCAGGCCTAATTTTTCATATTTTTAAAGTACTGTGTTTTCATTCCCAATATCTCTACCTTTAAATTTTCTGACCTTCTCAGGGATAAATGCAGATAAAATAAATACTGTTATCTCAGTGCCTTTGTTCTGTTGATAAAGGTAGTTTTTGTCACATCACCAAGTTGTTATGGACATTCAGGTTATACCTGGTGATTTCTTTGTGTTAATAGACCTACTCAGTATTTTCCACCAATATCATATGCCATAGATTAATAATCATTGTATGTCTTCCTGTTGGAGGGCACACTACTCAGATCCACTGAGTTACCTATGGCATAACTCAGTAGTTCTCTGTAGATAGGACCTGTATTTAATGCTTAATAGAATTCCTGCTTCTGTTCCTATTCATAAAAGATTGTTTTGTGAGGCTTTCAAACAGAAGTTTCACACTTGTATACCACACATATAGGATGGAGACAGAGGAGAGATATGTACTTTGTAAAGATGATAAAATTCTTGGAAATGTTGTAAACCCCTCACTCTTGGTGTATAATACTACTACAAAAGGCTCAACATTTCTCAAATATCTCCAGATGCTTGGGAGAACACATTCAACATTTATCTATCCTATTATGCATAAACTTAAGATCATGTACAAGTTTATTGCCTTATGTTGAGGATCCTCACTACAGTAAGATCCAACAATCACAAGAACATAAATAGTTATTGCCTCTACACCTTATGGATTGCCACTTCTAAGTCAAAGCTTAGAATTCTACAATTTATGTCTTTTAGTGCCTGGGTAGGCACACTTTTAAGTAGTTATCTATGTGCTTCTTAGAATACAGAAATTCTCAAATAGCAAACAGATATATTCCACAATGATCTTGGACTTTTTAGAGCTGCAGTGACTAACTGACTCAACCTCAATCAGCTTTTGAAAAAAATTCTTATCATAATTCAGGACACAGACTTCAGCTCTAAGACATTAGGATTAGCTACACAATCCCATTAAGTCAAAATGATACATCATAATTTAGTTGCTCTAGGTGCTTCAGCCTATTGAAATGCCAAATGGATATGGATTCTCTGTGCTTCTGTATCCTCTCACAGTGAACAGACATGTTGGTTTGTTCCAACTGACAGCACATGAGGTTTTCGGGGGATTCTTAGGGTGATTGAGATCATGATAACCTGAGATTTGTTTGCTGCTTCCTAGGCCTGAAATAATTGTGCATCCAGTTTAGCAGAAGAATGGAACAACAATGATTTCACCATTGAAGCAATGCTTATGGTAGGTATCTCTGGATGGTAGTCTTACTTAATCCTCTCCTACTCATCCTGATAGCACATATCTTTGTTCATGCACAAAGAAGGGGACGTCAATAGAAGATTTTTAGACACCAAAGTTGCCCTCATTAGCTATGATCTGTGTAAATTTATCATACACTGAAT